ATGTGATGGCTATGAAAAGATTGAAGGATTTGAAGAAAATAAACATTTTTTTGGATAACTTGTTTTGACAATTTTACCTATCAATTAAGATGTCATTTGAGTTAAAATTACTATTTCAACGTTAACTTATGATTTTATAGACGGAATGCGTGAAATAGACCAACGCTGTAATTATATATAAAGGTTTGGGAATTCGACAGTAAAAATTAAAGGTTTGGGTGTAATCTGCAACAAAATGAAAAGTTTGGGACCAGCGCTGCAAATTTTTCGAGTCAAAATTACTGTTGAAACGTTGATTGACGGTTTTATGGACGGAATTAAAGGTTTGGGATCGACGCTGCAACTACGTATAAAGGTTTGGGACTTCGACAGCAAAAATAAATGGTTTGAGTGTAATCTGCAACAAAATGAAAGGTTTGGAATCACGATCGCAATTTTCCCGCAATCTAAATTCGAAAATTTACACGTTAATAAATATTTTCAAAATTTTGTATTGTTCTTTCTAGCTCAAGCGCATTCAATTTGGTAGTACAATCTTGAGATGCAAATGCAAGGAGATCACATGGTTTAATACCTTATCTATTACGTTAATGTTTTGTAATCAATTAATTGGTTAATGTTCTATTTTCTGGGCTAGGACTGCCAACTTGATAGGGATTGTAACGGGATAAGTATGTGATGAGTTGTCTATTCCTATCCTCATTCCGTCGGGTATTTTTTTCATCTTACCCCATCTCCATATCTAAGTAAAACGAGACGAGTTTTGGGGTGGGGCAGGATGGGATGGGGTGGGGTGGGTCTCCTACTCCATTTATCACCCCCATTTATTTTTTCTCTCTTTTTTATTTTTATTTTATTTTATTTTATTTTTTATATATATATTTAGTTAGTAAATATTATTATTTTTCTCCAATTTGTTAAGAACAACTTATGTTATCTTTAAAAATGATGATAAATCTTTTATTTTTGTTTGATAAAAAATTTAAATTTAAAATTAAAATTAACTTTAAATTGGGTGGGGACTATATTTTTCGTATCCACCCCATACCCTCTTCTGGGTAATGAACCCACCCCCACTCCGTTTACCCGGTTAGACGATTAATCCCCGCTCCATTCGAGATGGATTCTCACTGGTATTTGGTTGAACGGATTTTTTTTCCATTCCTACAACTTGATCAGTGTGAAAAAGGAACTTTGAGAGCATCGCATTGAGGCATGTTAGTCGATTGTGTAATTACAAAAATAGACATCCTTGATCATACAATGTTATATTGAATTAATGAACCCCAAAAATAAAGCACCCATTTTTAAAAAATAAATGAATTATTAATTAGCAGAGACAGAGAGAGAACAAACGAAAAAGACGATGATAGATCCTCTGACACCACGCCCCTGCCTTGTACTTCCCTTCCATTTTCTATAAAATCCCTGTATCAATCATGTCACGATACTATGAACATTGAAAATCAACCACCCCAATTGCCGCCTGTCTCCTCCACCGCCGCCGTACAACCACCACCATCCATCCCTGGTGGGGATGCTCTAGTTGAACCACCACAACCACCAGCGGAGAAATCACAACTACCAGAGGCGCCGCCGCCATCTCAACCACCACCAGTGCCGATTGTCATGATTCCATCTAGAAATCCCAATGCCCTCTACAGCGGTGGTGGTATAAGGTATATTCGTTCCTTCTCTTGCTCTCATTTTTTTCTTACTTAATTAATTTGTAGAAAGCACTCCGATTTTAGTGTACTGTGAATATGTTGGGTGAGAATCGTAATATCAGTAAAATTAGGGGAAAAGAAAAAGTTCATAAGATTATCAATTAGTCTGTGGAATCACTCATGGGTAATTTGGTAGCTTAGATTAGACGGGATGAGACAATATTAAGAACATGTTTGATGTAAATTTTTTAGAATAAATTTTGTGAAATGTAATTTTTTTGAAAAATGTGCCGTAAAAAAAAGCAGTAAAAAGTTATTGGTTCACGTGCAAAATTATTCTAGGGGGAAGAATGTGGATTAAAATTGAGTTTTAAAGGTTCTATGCCAAACAGTGGCTAAGAACGTAAAGGAAAAATTTGCTAAAAACCTGATTTTTAGCAAAACCAAACTGGGGCAAAGAATGTAAAAGAAACAGGTTTTAAAATGAAATTACAACATTTTTTACTGTTATAACTCAGAAATAAAAATGGATGCTATATCGAACACTGTCAGTAGCAAATGACTGCATCAGGAATTTTTTTTTTTTTTTGGGGTTCTATTCCAGTACTTGTAAATGGTGGAATTTTAATAAAACTAGTCCATTTGCATATTGTTTTTGTTTTTATGAATTTATCAATTACAGCTTTCTCACTGGAAATAGCAATGCAAGGCTCACTTACGGATACTGCAGTTCCAAGGGCAAACGTGCCTCGATGGAGGATTTCTATGAGACAAGGATATCGGAAGTTAAGGGTCAAATGGTTGCTTTTTTTGGAGTTTTTGATGGTACAATCATACCTTCATTCTCGTACAGATTTAATATCTTAATGAACTGAGAAGTAATTTTGGTTGTGGACTCGCATATATCATTCTTGATATCAGGACATGGTGGGTCGAGAACTGCAGAGTACCTTAAAACCAACCTCTTCAAAAATCTTAGTAGTCACCCTGACTTCATTAGAGACACACAGTCAGCTATAGGTATGAACTTGTGAGAACCCATTTCTTGTTATATTCATGGCCTTGTCCATTTTCGTCTCTTTCCTAAACTGTACCAGGAAAATTTCTTGATTGCAGTCGAAGTTTTTAAACAGACTGATGCTGATTACCTTAATGAAGAAAAAGGCCAGAAGAAAGATGCAGGTTCGACTGCATCGACTGCCATTCTCGTAGGCGATAAACTTCTAGTTGCAAATGTTGGAGATTCTAGAGTTGTAGCTTCTATAGCTGGTTCAGGTCGGTCTGTTGCTTCTTAACTCACAATTTGCAATATTTCCATCCCAGAGGGCTTAGCTTCATGCATCTTGGAGTATAGCTTTTTCTATAATGAAAGGAAGAGTTTTCGTAGTATTCAAGAACCATCAAAACAACAATCTTCTTCATGGTAGTATTCGATTTAGTGAATTCGACAAAAAAGTTCTTAAAATGTCACTTAACAATTAACTAGTAACTTCAACATGAAAAACTTATCCTACTATTTTTCATTACATGTACATGTAAGTTGTTTATTCTCTTATCTTTTGCATACACATTATAATTAAATATGATACTTATCCTACTATTTTTCATTGTCTTTCTGGTTATTCTTGCTGCCTCATTAGCCATTCCTTTATCCATTGATCACAAGCCTGATAGATCTGATGAACGAGAAAGAATAGAACAAGCTGGGGGCTTTGTCCATTGGGCAGGTAACTGCTATCTTTCTTAGGTCTAATTTACTTTTCTCATTTTGTGAATTGTATCTCTATTATATCTTTAGTGTATGATAGAAAAGTTATCTGTTTGAAGCAGTTGCCCCATCCCCATGAATTGGAATTCGAATCTGTTGGCATGACTTGGGTGAAGCAGCAAATATCTATTTTCATCTTTTATGATCTTTGATTTGAAATCTGACATCAGCTCCGCCGACCATCTCTAGTGACTGTATTTTATTATAATCTTACTTGTATTGATGACAAAGCACAAAGCCTTCACACATCCCTTTCTTTTCTTTTCTGGAAGAAAGTACATTTGCGTTGACGTTTTATCTAGTCATAATGCGATACCATTTCTCCGATGTCATAAACCATATCGTTTCATGGGATTGTTAATAATTCGTGTTAGTTTTTTGCAATGTAAACGGACTTGTGTGATGTCCTTAATCTGGTGTATATACAAGTTCATGTCGTTTAGTAGAGTTCTTAGTTGCACTTGACTTCATCAGGGACATGGCGGGTCGGTGGTATTCTTGCTGTTTCTCGTGCATTTGGAGATAAATTTCTCAAACCATATATTGTGGCCGAGCCCGAAATTAAGGTAATCTTTGGTTTCTCTTGTTTCTGGATTAAATCTGTTTGCTGTCATGTTTAAAGAAGTAAAATCTAATAAATGATGGTATATGTATTCACCAAGCCTTTCAAGTCGAATAATGGTTGTAAAAATATTTCTGAATTCATAAGAAATTACGAAGATGTTACCTTATTGGAATGTTAGAATTTCTTGATCCAACGAATGGCATCACTTTAACATCTTTATAAGAATTTATGTAGATGATACCACATTGGAATGTTAGAATTTCTTGGTCTAACGATTGACATCACTTTAACATCTTTCGAAGAATCGTGCTTGAGATGCTATTTAATGATGTCTCAGGAAGAAGAAATTGGTGTAGTGGATTTTATAATAGTCGCAAGTGATGGACTTTGGAATGTCCTCTCCAATAAGGTAATTCCTCCTATTCCTATTCGAGAAGTTACTTTGCGGGTTCTTTTAGCTGTCATCAATTTAGCAATCGTAGAAATTTTCTATAATTGCTTGTGTTGAGACGAATTCTTAGAATTTTTAAGTCAACGTGTTTCAGCATAACTCTGCGATTGTCCTTATTGGTTTATTGCAAATACTAAAAAAATTCTTCATTGGTTGAGTTAAAGTACTTAGAAACACCAATGAAAACGGATTAAAGAAAAAATAATTAATAGTATGCTATAGCATTGTTTTGTTGGAGGCTTCAATCAATACATATATATTGCTGGTCGAGATGTTTTCATTATGGTCTTTATAAAACTCGATGTTCATAAAATATCGCCTGTGTCATAAACGTGCGCTAATTTTACTTTCTTGTTCTGATTTAGGATGCTGTGTATATCGTACAAGATATAAAGGACGCCGAAGTAGCATCAAAAAGACTAGTAGAAGAAGCCTATATGAGGGGGAGTTCAGACAATATTACTTGTATAGTTGTTCGATTTGAGAAATTACGATAACACTAACAAAATCACTTCATTAGGTTGATGGCTTGCCTTGTAGAGTTGTATGGTGACCATTGACATGCTCATCATCGGAGAGTTTTTCTTTGGTAGCACGTTGAAATATACTATGTGATCGACAAGTGTGTTATGATACATTATCAGATGATCTGAAAAACGTTTATGATATGTTCTTCGCTTGTCATTATTGACGAGATTGGATGGCCTGAAAAACCTTCTTTAGAGAATTGCAGACATAAAAAAAAATACAATTTTCTTTGGCATTTGGGAGATTATGGTTATGCACATTTATCCAAGAAACAATGGATTGGCCAAGCCGGCCAGACACCTGCCGGTGGCATGTCACACCACCTCAGAACCGGCAGTGACTGCCCAGCACAGATCGGAGGGAGAAACGAAACGAGACATCAGATGTAAGAAAATAAGAAATGAACACAACAATTTTGCTAGATTAGATAAAAATACATTGTCCAAGGCAAACTCTCTTTGGGTCAAACGACATATAAGGCAAGAAAAAAAAAGATTCAGCAACAGGTGCTTGTGGATGCGTCAGATTCTGGAGGTTTCTGATTGAAGATGTTCTTCTTAACACCACCAGAGCCATCGGCCAAGAGACTCGGCGTATCCAAAATCTGCCAATAGAAGTTTAACAATGAATGCATAATAAATAAGATGCCAACCAAGTGTATACAAACAGGTCTGAATAAAGTCAAAAACAACTACATTAATATAGCATAGATGTCATTGTCACGGGTATAGGTTTTGATGTCAATGGTATCCCACATTGAAGGTAACGTAGGCAACATACTTAAAAAACGAAGCCTAACGGGTTGTCAGCAAAGAAACATAACATTTTATATGCGAAGCAGATTCACGTATGTACATAAAAGACTTCCATTTTATCTACAGCATTCATTTGATATGAGTTTTCCGACATGACCCGAAATGAAATAGCAACAATAAAGCAAAGACTCGGTAGCATATTTCTCTCCTCAGTAGAAATCTGACTAGTTTAACAGTCTAATTGATAGAAACTGTTCAATGGGGACTTGACTGCTATAAATTTCGAAGGTTAGGGACATAAACGTCAAAACGTAAAAGTTGGGGATCCAAATGAAACATCACCCATAGGTTGGGGACCTTCATAGCAATTTTGTCTGTTTCGCCTCACATCCATTCGACATTGTAGACATGGATTGAATTCTAGCTTAAGCTAAAAATAGTTACATTATTTTTTGTCATCACAACGGAGGTGTTAACCCTAAAATTGGGAAGCTAGATTTGTGCATGTACCCCTCTCTACCTCTAAAAATAGTTAGATTATTTTTTGTCATCACAACTGAGGTGTTGAGACCCTAAAATTGGGAAGCTAGATTTGTGCATGTACCCCTCTCTACCTAAACAAACCGTCGGTGAAAAGATTGGGCAACCCAAGCCAAACCAGAAGCACTTCACTCGAGATGCAAAATCAGAAACTGACAATGGTGGGAAAAACCTAAACTAAGCAATACGAGCATATAAAACAACCCAAAAACGTGGATGTATTTGGATTCATGCACATCCTGATCCTATGCAAAAGATTGAAGACAATTCAAACAAAATACTACAATCACACTTGCCTTCAAAACGAGTTCCTCAAAACATTGCTCTACATTGACCCGAGTTTTGGCACTGCACTCAAGGAACAGGCATCCATACTCCCTTGCAAAGTCGATTCCCTCTTTTTTGCTGACGACCCTTTCGTCTTCCTGCAAATATATAATCAAGACGTGGATGGTAATTCTGTCCTCATAAGCACCATTTTCTATAATATTTCATACAAATACGAGAAAAGGAAGCATAAAACCGAAGGATCTAAAACATGAAATACAGAGGAAGACATGTGCTCTAATTATCTTCCCAGAAAATGAAAAAGGGGATACCTTATCAACTTTGTTGCCTACGAGCATCTTGATACAATCTTGATTTGTTGAGTAGAGGTCAATTTCTTTAGCCCATATATCAGACAGATTTGTAAATGTTTCTCGTCGAGTCACATCATAAACTGTTCCATGGCAAATGGTTAAATATACATGAAAAGGTTTTAGAATATCTGTGGAGATAAAAAATTGCACATAAAAGGAACCAACAGCAGTCTTAAGTAAAATAACTATCATCCATAATCTATAGTGTATACATGTGTGTCAAATATATCTTGTCATCTGTAGATATTTGCTTAAACAAATCAGCCATTTCAGTTTCTCACTAAAATCTCCTGGTATTAGCTTAAAGCTTAGTAAAAACGAAAGGAAAAAAAGTGTTGACGAACAATTTAAATTTAAATAGGTAGAAATGAGTATTGGAAAAGTGAGTAGCACTAGTGGATCTAATGTGTGAATAAAAGTGGTTCGAGTGTTTATAAACGATTTATAAACACGAGCAAAATATAGTATATTGAATTATATCATGCTATAGTATATATGTTCAAAGGAGGATTTTTCAACGTTCTTTTTTTTTTTTTTTTCAGATGTTATTGTTAGTATCTTCAGTGATGATACGAATATTTTGACAGACAAATGATAAATCATGAAAGCACATACCCATTATGATTCCTTGAGCTCCTCTGTAATATGAACTAGTCAAAGTCCTAAATCTTTCCTGTCCGGCTGCAAAATAAGAAATTAGATTAAGCAAGCATTAGCACGTAGAGCTAATGAAACAAGCCAAGTTCAAAATTCATGTATATAGCATCCATTTGAAAGTGGAATTGTTTTCTAAGGCTCTAAAAGCATCTTCAATCGTGATGTAAAAAAGATATAAATTGTGATTTAAATCTTCGAAATAGCCGGAAGCCTCTCCAATTGAGAGATGCAAAGGAAATGCAAATTGCATTTTTCAATATATCCTAAAGTTTTTACATTCACAATAGGCAAAAAGTAGATTTAGATCTTTCTATTGGAGCAAATTTTGAATTTAGATCCATCGGGATGTAAATGAAGATGCAAAAGTGGTTTTGAAGATACCAATTTACATCCAATTTTACACTACCATTGAAGATATTCTAACAAGCTACTAAGAGTCGGTAGCATAAAGAAACAAGACGCTGCCATTTTGCCGTTAAAAGCAGGGTCTTGATAGACTGTGCTGTTGTATATCTGAAAAGGTACTATTTACATAGACATAAAAGCAACAACATTCTAGCGCACAGGATATCTTACTCCCTAGAAATTTAGTTTGCCAGTTCTAAAACAGAACAGCTAACCGTTTTCACTGAACTCATATTTGAACAATTAGAAGCCAAAATGTACACAGATAATACGATGATTTGATCTTCTTTATGAATTTTCACATATTATCATCATTCGATCAATAGTGCAAAAAAATGAAATAACAAGAAAGTAAATTATTATTTTGGGAGAAGAGATTTGCAGAACCACAAACATAATATAAAAAGAAATATGCATACCAACTCAAATAAGATGCACGGAAATACAGAATTGAGAACCCTTCAGTTCTTTTTTTTTTTCGTTAATGTTTTACATACAGCATGCATTGAAAAACTCTTACCCGTGTCCCAAATTGCAAGTTTCAATTTTTTCCCACCAACAGTAACATGCTTTACTTTGAAATCCACTCCTGTAGATGATAGAGAATTATTATGAAATTAATAACAACAATAATAAATCAACTATTCCAATATTATATAACAGCTCTTAATATGCCATTTCAAGACTTGTCATTCTTAGTTTCTGATTCTGTATAGAATAAGTATCACATCTTATATAAAATTCTCTGATGATAAAAAAATGAATAGGATTATACCATGAAAATAAACAAATTGTTAGCAGAAGGCTAGACATCCACCACCACAAATAAAAGGTTAATTGGTTGCATTATCAGCCCAGGTTTCATAAATTTTATTTATGCCCTGTTTGGGCTCCATTAATTCCAAAATGAATTTTTTTCTCTTATTTTCAACCACACATTCTCTAATATAATAATATTATACGTCAACTCAAAACTTTTCTTTCTTTTTTAACTACACATTCTTCAAATACATTTTTTCCCAAAATCTAATTATATTGGAGCTCAAACGGGCCTAATCTGTCCAATGCTAGCTCAAAATGGAAGATAGAACAAGGTCCAAATGGAAAACACACACACAAAAGATCAGATAGAATGGAAATGCAAGGTTTCCAATCAATTATCAGCTTGGTGGGAAACCATATAAATAAATGTCAGGAGAAAAATTAGGTAACGAGACCAAGTATACTCCAGCCTGATGACATCCTTTGTCTGTCAGAGAATAAGGAAGGCAACTGTCTCTTAATAGGTAATTAGTATGGTTGCTTTCCAATACTGATTAAATCTGATATACTGGAAGTTTAATGGCAGAAACATAAACTTCAAAACATCCATGAAGTGAATATCATTGCCACTACTACACCATCATCCATCACTACTGTCGTCATTGCCACTTATACAACATATATGATACTATGTTACTGTATCATAACAAACAGAAATTTTTTCTTAAATATAGCATACTCAATCCGCAACGCACTAGCCATTAAGCCTTTAACTCAAATGAAGCCAACTAAAGTTAAAATTTACGAATAGGAGGAAAACCCACAAGTTTTCTTAAGAGCCAAATCCCAAAAGCTAATTATTCACCTACTCTAAACAAAATGTGGGGCTTAGGTCAAAGTGTACAAGTTTTCACATATATCAATTATCATCAAACAAAATAAATACTTGTATAATATGTACATATTTATCCCTATCAAGCAATAGGCCTATGTAAAGACGTGTACAGCAAACAATAACAAAATTACCAATGGTAGGGGAGAGATCATCGAAAGTGTTTGTAGTGAAACTGAGCAAAAGGCTACTTTTCCCAACTCCAGAATCGCCTACCATCAGTAGCTTAAACAAATAATCAAACTCTGTCTGTGATGATGAGTCCATAGTTTCCTTCAATTTTCAAAACCCTGAAACCGAAATTCCAATCAGTCAATGCATACAAAAAAAAAAAAGTAATAATAACATTAAGAGAACAGAGAAACCCATAAACGGAGTACCTGGGTTTTAATCGGTGGAGCAAAAGATGTATGATTCTCCGACTGTGTGTCTGCTTGTAGAGAATTTTATAATGAAATTTCTATAGTTTTTTATGTAGTAATTTAAATCGAATTGTGTAGAAAAAGGTTGGGTTGGCGAAAGGAAGAGAGAGATCAATATATAGAATTATGTTCTGGCGGTGGTAAAGAGAGTAGATGGGGTGAATTTGCACTACTAGTCCCCATTCCATAGATATTGTTGCAAATTGATGTCTAATTTATTTTTCTTAACGACGTAGTAACTAATCCGTTAATTTTGTGACAGTGTTAATTCTTTAGGCCTGTTCTCCATCATTTTAACCGTTAACTAGCACGTTCACCACCATTTAAACGGTTAATTTCGCACGTGCACTTCATAAGGTCGATTAGTTGTTTAGTACTTGTTTGAGTGAGTTTTATCAATTTTTTAATCGATCAAACTTCAATTTCAATTTTTCAACCAAATATATCACGAGACCCCTAACTTTTATCAACTTTTTATCGACAAATGTCATCATTTTTTACCAATTTTTCAACTGCATATTTCAACTCACAACATTTCATGCTCCCATAAAAAGATAGCGTTTCGTTTGAGCGTATTAAGTTATTGAGTCGTAAGAGTCTATTTTGAAAAGCCAATCTTCTTAAGAAATTAAGCCCAAATCCGCGTATTTGAAAACACTAGAGGTGGATAGGTTTACTTGGCTCTCAAGTAAGGGCAAAAAAAATGTTTAAATGATACACCAGTATTTACAATACTAAGAGCTTGTTTGGTAGAGATTAAAATTGAAAAACTAACAGTTATTGTTGATTTTTATTAGATGAGTGAGATCCAATAACGACTATATTTTCAATTTTAATTCCTTCCAAACAAGTTCTTAATTCTTGTTTGGGTTCCATTTTTGTAAAATACATTTTTTTCAAAACTCATTTCCAACCACACATTCTTCCATAATTAAATAATATTACACGTAAATTCAAAATTTTTTAATTATATTTTAACCACACATTCAAAAAAATCCATTATTCCAAAATTCATTTTCTCCCAAAATCACAAAATGGAGCCCAAACAGGGGCAGAGGTAGGTAGCAATATGCAATGCGGCCAAAAAAAAAAAAAAAAGAGGAGAAAGGGGGGGCACATTTGGTCAACTCACAACTGCTTCTAGGGTTGGAACAAATCACAAAATGTTTCCTTTGTACGAACTAATATTTTCTTCAAGAATCAAAAAATGCAAGTCATTCTCTATTATAAATATGTTAGGTTCAACTAATTTACTATTTTTTGCTTGTTAATTAATGTAATGACTTTGTCAGGTTATAAATAGTAAGTTATATATTTAAAGATTAGCGGTGAGGTGCCTAGCAAGACGAAATAAATGGATGTCACACGAGCCATTTCAAAGACAATTTTTTCTTTTTTCCATTTATAAGAAGCTTATCTCCGAACGTGCACTCTTTCAAAATACTTGTAAACTTATGGATAAATTAATGTGTATGAAATTTGCATCGACATGTTTCTAATAGGAAGAGTAGCTCAAATTTCTTATAAACCTAAAATCATATTCATGACTAGTCGATTTCTCACATTTGACGCACTTTTTTTCCAACAAAGAACCACGTCATCTCAATAACACTTGATCTACCTTCTTCAAATTAGAAAGGCTCACACACCGCTCAATACTCAATTAATTCTTCAACAACATCATGCTCCACACCCCTAGGGCTTCGAGAACCAACAATGGATTTCATTTGACATCACAATTAACCGAAGTACATCTCTGCTCAGGTACACCTTGAAATTCATCTTGTGCATTCACTTGGTTAGGTTTTGAGGCATGATCTATAAGAATTGGATTCATCTAAGGTTAACCTGTAATAGTAGTTCAATTCTTTTATAAACTCAAGACTATCCTCATGGCTTATATCGCACTTCTCTCAATCAATTCTCTCCATCATTTTTTCTTCTACGAGAAAATTAAGAAGTTCACATTGATCCATAAACCTTCTTAAATGCTGTCAAGGCATTAGTATTTTAGGGTTCTTTACATATTCGCGAGTACCTTTGGCTTACTCATAATGGTTACGACACTAAAGACTTAAATACATTCACTTTGTACTAACAAGGACTATATATCATAAGTAAAATAAAATAAACTGTCACAATATTAAATAGAATGTCATACACAACAAAAGACTTTGACAAACTGCAAAATATATAATTATCCTGTAATCTCATACAATTAAACTGAAATTGTTAATTGTCCCATAATTTAATTTAAATTGAGCATTCTAGTTGACTAACCTGCACTCTTCAAGCCAATAGTACTATGTAAATTGAAAGAAAAAGAATTAAATATTAATATAGTTATCAAGAAGAAATACCCACACCAAGAAAATCTATGAAGGGAATGTCATTTCTGTGGATGGATTGGTCTTCTTGTTTCTTCTCTATACTTGTCCTTGCATGAGCAAAGGGGCGTAAATTGTCGACATTAATACTTGTCAAATTATCTCTTTTCATTTTCCCATGTTTTTTACTGCTATCACCAAACGGAAACGGAACAACCCTCTTGTAGTTTTGGGTGCCAAATGCTGCAACCGAATCCCCACAGGCACCAAATATTGACATATTTAAACGTGCGCTATTGGAGCTGGAATTGTACTGGTTACTGTCTTTTCTTCCAAATAAATCAGCAGAAGATAGTTTATTTTCCCTCGAATTTCTTGGAATAAAAGATGGCCATAAAGCGTGTGAATCAGAGGATGATGACACGGAGAAGACTTTATCTTTGTTTTGGCTTTGGAATTCCAAAATCCCACCATTTTCAAAGCTGATTTTGGGCACATATTCATCGTGAGATCTTGAATTTTTTCGTTGAAAAACGTAAGATGAGGATTTGGAGTCATGACTAATTTCTTGATGACCTCTTTTACCAGAAAGCTTGGATTGTTCTCTATGTTTTCTGGCCATAATAACATGCCAATGATTTTTCACAGCATTGTCAGTTCTACCTGGAAAAAACCTGGATATAAGAGCCCATTTATTGCCATGTACTCTATGTGCTGCAAGAAGCCTGTCCTCTTCTTCTTCTGTAAATGGCCTCCTGTTTATTCTTGGATCAAGCTGATTAAACCATCTCAATCTGCAACTCTTGCCTGCAAAATAACTAACATAGATCAAACACAAGAATAGACGATTCTTCTCAAATCAGTTCCCTAAACCCTTTAAATAGTTTTGTTAATTAGGATGACTTAATACATATATGATATATGATAAATATCTAGAAGAATTTGTAGCCGAAAGAATAAGTGTTCACCATGTTTAGGTTCAACACTATTATCAACAGATCACCAGTTCAAAAGTTGGACGGTGGAACCTCAAACAAGCAACCCTAATTTTGGAACAGTACAGCTAGAAATGATTGGGAAAAAAAAACATATACAAAATAAAACAGGCACACACACACAGAAATTAACCTGATCTTCCTTGAAGTCTTTCAGCGATTGAATTCCAGTTTTGAGGGCCATATTTTTCAACAAGCAGCCGGAGCTTTTCATCCTCAGAAGGTCTCCAGTGTCCTCGAGGACAAGTCCTTGGATCATCGCTATAGCCTCCACTGGTTTCGTCCATCGCCACGCGCATCAAAGACTCTATCTACTGAGAATTATAAAATATTAGAAAGAAATCTCCAGTTTACAGAAAAATAAATAGAATTTGAAAAGTGGGTTGGTTTAAAGCTGCCTCAAGATGGACTTTACCACAAGAAAAACTGAACCTTCTTTCTTTATCTATTGGCCATTCATGAGTAAATTACTGATATTTAGTTTAATTACCTCGTGTAAAAATACCAAGATTTCTTGAATGGTAATTATTCACTCAAACACCAATACAATTGCCATTTTTTCTTCCTTCCTTTCGTGATCAATTCAAATTTTCAATGATTGTTACCCATTGTCTAATTAGGATATTGAATTTAACATAATTAAGTCCATTTTTGACCCCCATTTTCTAAAAAATATTTTTCCTCGAACTCATTTTTAATAAAATATTTTCTCAATAAAATAATCATGCATGTGGATTCTTAACTTTTCTCTATTTTTTTAACTACATATTCTCTAAAAAAATCACTTTTACGAAATTACTCTCAAAAAATCTCTACAAAACTGAGACTAATACCTGTAACATTCGTCATTTTTTCCATTTTTATCCATTCCAACGTCACGAAAAGAATGCAAGAGATAAAAAGGAAGATAATGATGCACTTTAAAATTTCTTTCTTATTGCATATACCTATTGAGGGGCTTAAATCCCCCTGTAATATATATGGTTTCTACCTGAACTGTTATTTTTTAATACAATATAACTTAATATAAAATGCATAAATTATTTTTAATTTTTTTTGACATTGTATTAAGATTGTGATTTCATGGTTCTCCATGCAAATTCTATAGCAACTTTTTAATTTCATGAGAATAAACTTGTCCTAACATTATAAGAAATTTTCTTTAGGATGAAAAACATAGAGGCTGCAAATACTATGAGAACATAACTAACATGAAAAACTAAAGAATGTTCAGAAAACAATATGTACCTCGAATTCGAAGAGGGAAAAGGAGACTGCAGCAAGGGGGCTTCAGAGAATAAAAATTTTGTGGAAAAAAAAAAAAAGGTTCTGTTTTGGAAGAGGCAGATGTGAATAATCATAAGGTTTTAAAGCTTGCAGACATAACATCAAGCAAGAAATTAGGAATAAAAAGCTTGTTATTCAATTAATGGGGATGGTTGGTAAGCTCTCCATGTATATATACGAATAATGATTATGAAGTTCTCATTAATTATTGGATGTCAACTTTAGAGTTCATAAGTAATGACTATGTATGTAGAACTGCCACCTGATATTGTTAAAAAACAGATAGAAGAAATTAGGGTATAGTATTGGAATTGGTTAGCACATTAATTGTTCCACACTCTTTCTATTCCCATTTTTGCACAAATCCTATATGTTTGGGAAATTACAAAACTTTGTTAGAGCAAGTTCTTTCTTTCTCCCTTTTTGGTTTGATAAGATCAAAAATATTTTTTTGTTATGGATAATATTGTGAGGGTGTTTGATGGTTATTAAAATTAGATTTTTAGTATATTGTGATAGAAGATTTTGAAATGTGTGGTTGAAAAGTTGTGGGACACATGAAAGATGTTATTAATATTGATTGTTTGACTTTGATTTAGATTAAAATCCGATTTTAATTCGAACCAAACATGGCCACAGTATTTGAGTCAAAACCATACATGCTCTGATTTGAAATATATATGTTAAATAATCTCATCTAAAAGTTCAAGCTATTTGAGAATCATTATTTATTCAAAATGTTTGCAACAAGGTCCGTTGCATGCTTATTAGATTAAAGCATAACACGTTCACAATTTTCTTTAAAAGATATTTAATTTAAGGCTTCCTCGATATTGCTACTTTTTGCTAAAAAAAAAAAAAAAACTAGCGAAATTAATCAAATTTCATTCTGGGCATGTTTAAGCCCCATTTTTGTCAAAAAAATGCATTTTTAAATAGTGTATTGATGAGAAATGTGTGGTGAAAAAATAGGAAAAAGTTTTAAATTTGTGTGTAATATTATTTTATTAAAAAATGTGTGGTTAAAATGTGGTCAAAATATTGTTCGAGAACGCATTTTTTCAAAAATAAAAAATAAAAATGTGGCTCAAACAAGGGCTTAACTATACATTTCTTAAATTCACCAGCTTTATCTAATTTTAACCACACATTTTATAGGCTCGATTAATTTATATTAACTTTATTTACTAAAAATTTACATCAAACATGCACTTAAAAATATATATATATTGAAGATTGTTGACTTGATTAAGAGTTGCCTAATGTGTTGAGATTATTAAAATTTGCCATGATGCCCAAATATATGTACTTTCCATGCAGATGGCAAGTCAAATACAAACGTTGAAAGATTTTATGCAATGAATATGTAAAATTGATTTCTTAACTGACCCCACGAAATTAAACACTTGATCAAAATATGTTAATTAAAATAGTTTATCCATTCACATCATTCATTTATCAACTATACAAGACATCTCCAACGGTGGGTGTAAAATCAGTATCCAACCCTATGCTGCATTTATAAATATAAATTTTAGAATTTGTTCCGAAATTAATTTAGAAAAAATAACATTTAATTTACACAAGTAACGTTTATAAATGATTGTACAAAATTTTTTAGAGCCATTAAATAATCTACACTGCATTAGTGAATTATTATTTTTCTTTATTTTTTATAATAATAATAATTATTATTATTTCCATGCAGTCTGATTAGAGGGATCATGCAGACTTTAAACTAAAGAAAGCTCCAATAAACAGATCAAAAGACAGAAGGCTATAAAAAGAGAGAAATGGAAAGATATAAGCTTCATTAATAGATGGAAAATTCAAATAACCTGCACCTGGTGAAATTTTTTATCGAATCTTCGTACTTTTTTAGGTTTAATTTAAAGACGGTTCAACATGGTATAATATGTTCCATCTCCAAAAGTACATGAAATGTCAATGGATCAAGTCTCGCAATAATCCATGAAAATAATTGTATGTGTCGGGAAGGCCACGTTATAGACAAATTTAAAATTTTAAATGAATGAACGTGTTCCTCTTTAACCTCTTAAGCTATTCGATAAGAAAGACGCAAGTCTAGTGGCACTCACAGTGGTCGGGATTTCGCTGGCGGGTAACGGCTACGGATTCTTACGTCAACAAAAAAAAGAAAAAAGAAAGACCCAAGCCTAACACGACTCACAACCATGAATAGAAAGGTTTGGAATAGCTTTCGATTACTTGCAGAGGTAAAAATAGAGATGCATATTTCTCCAAGTGTCTTTATAATGAAAACTATAATATACCTTTTATCTCACCTTTCCAAGAAACCAATTTAAGCAACACATCAACGAACGCTGACAAACCTCAGCGAACAACCTTTGACTACTCCCATTCAACCCTCTTCTATATATATTAATTTCTACATAATCCCTACTCATTAATTGCACTGTAAAAATATTGGAAAATTTGCCAACTGCTTTTTCCCGTTATGTTATATTTCATTTAATGCATTTTGTTACATGACATCTGCTTATGATGTTAGATTCATTAATTATTGTACAATGCTTTCGTAGATCACAACAGTAACCCCCAAGGACATAATTTGATATGTATGGTGTGGGAAAACCAAGTAAAACTAGATAATAAAAATTTTACTTTTTGCCATAACATGATCCGAAATCTTACCAAACAATATTTAACACCTGTTTGATTGCACTTCAATTCCATGGAAGATGGAAATTAAATTCATTTTTCCACCTTTTTGTATGTTTGATTGCCCAAATTTTTCATGAAATTGATTTTTCATCTTTCATCCACATGCTCACATTTTCTTAGTTTTTGAGGAAAAGTCTTTCTCATCACTTTGGTGGGAAAAGCTTTTCTATGCAATTTTTTTTTTGCAATGAAAATAAATTATATCACTTTAATGGACAATTTTCATAGAAAATAAAGTCAAACGAACACCAAAAGATCCAAAATTTCAATATTTTTCATGTGAAAAATTATACAAATCGAACACAATTAATTGACAATTCCCAGTAAAACAAGTTCTAGACAATTGAATTCCTTGAAATTCATTTTCTTTCCACCAAATTTTCATTCTTGCAATCAAACGGACCCTAATTGTTATATGGAGCACATACAAATAGATATAATATTAATTTATGCAGCATCAATGTCTAACAAATAGATCGTTAAGTTTCATTTTCAATGGGTATCGTCCTAACAAATAGATCGTTAAGTTTCATTTTCAATGGGTATCGTC